TCTGTCTCGCGGACGTCTCGTCTGTGTCTCTGGAGTCTCATCTGTCTCGCTGACGTCTCGTCTGTGTCGCGGACATCTCGTCTGTGTCGCTGACGTCTCGTCTGTGTCGCTGGCGTCTCGTCTGTCTCGTGGGCGCCTCGTCTGTCTGTCTCGCGGGCGTCTCGTCTGTCTCGCGGGCGTCTCGTCTGTCTCGCTGACGTCTCGTCTGTGTCGTGGACGTCTCGTCTGTCGTCTTGTGTATTTTAAACTTTATTGACCCTTCACAGGCTGTTGCCGTGGCAGTACCAGAGTCAGTTGCCCCTGGTGATGAGGCTGCTGTTGGAGCGGGGGCGGAGCCAGAGACAGAGGGAGCATGTGGTTGGTCAAAACCTGAGACGTCTCTGGAGCTGATGTGTGGAGGACAGACAGATGTCAGGACATTCATTTATTTTATTTAATAATTATAAACATACTGTCTCTCTGTCTGTCTTCATATCACTCACCTGTCTGTCTCTCTGTCTTCATATGACTCACCTGTCTGTCTCTCTGTGTCTTCAGACCCCTCTGTACGTGGTTGACCCTCTGTCCTGGTGTCCTCACCTGGATGCTGTTAAGCCCCTACCCCCCTCAGGTATAGATGTCTTCCAGTCGTGTCAGGACTGCGGCTCCGGCGCTGAGAACTGGACCTGTCTCACCTGCTACCAGGTGACCTGTATCACCTCTCCATCACAGACTCTGTCTCACCTGTTGATGATGTCATGCATCTCACCTGTTCTCCTTCCTGTCTCAGGTGTTGTGTGGTCGTTATGTAAATGAGCACATGGTGACTCACGGCGTTGTGTCTGAACACCCGATGGTTCTGAGCTTCTGTGACCTGTCTGTGTGGTGCTACCTCTGTGAATCCTACGTCCACCACCAGGTGAGTCCTCATTATGTGTTCTTAGGGCCCGAGCACCGACGGAGTCAGAGCAGAGGACCTATTGTTATTCTAATGTTTATTATTATCGTACGTGTTTCATCGCAAAAAGGAGGTGCTTGGGATACTGGGAATTTTGTGAAATTTTGCACGCAAGCCAGAATTTGCGAAAATTGCAGTGTGATTGGGGTGTCCAGCTGCAGTATGAAATATTGGCTCGATAGCGCCCCCTATTGAGTAGCCCCAACATTGTGTTTCACCTAGCTGTATGAAATTTGGTAGGAATCTGGATCGTGATGGGACGTACAGAAAATCCTCTTGGAATTTTTCACTAAACCAAACAGGAAGTCGGCCATTTTGAATTTTATGACGTTTTTGGACCATTTCAAGGCGTCATACTTTAATGAACTCCTCCCAGAGATTTGACCCGATTGACTTCAGATTTGGTCAGTATGGTCTTGAGACCTTGGCAGCGAAAAGTTACTCAAAGATCAAAAAGTTATCGAACTATGTATCCGTGGCGTGGCGTCAACAAAACACCATTCGCCATGAAACAGGAAGTTGTTGTAACTAGGCCATACATTGTCGAATCTGCTCCAAATCTCTCATTTGTCATAACATCCTGACCCGGAACACATCTATATGATCATTTAGAATCATAGTAATAGCGCCACCTAGTGGCAACCGGAAGTTATAGGTTGTGTACTTTGACATCCTGCTCCTCACAGATCAATCAGATCCCTCTAAAATGTTGTCAGAACAGCCTTAAGACCTTGATAATGCTTCATTGTGAAGATTGTAAGAAGTTGTTGAAGGGCGGCGACGTGGCGGCTCGGCGAATTTCGATCCTTCGCCATGAACGAATAAACTGATGTAACTCGACTCCACATCATCAGATCTTTACCAGATTTCACATGTTTGATTAGACTCCAGGCCTGAAGACATCTGCAGGCCAATTTTGAATCATAGTCATAGCGCCACCTACTGGTAACAGGAAGTTAGTCTTTATACTTTGGCTTGTTTCTCTTAGTAGGTAAATCAGATCAACATCACATTAGTTCCACACAAATGTAAGAAGTTCATAATGCCAGTCCATGAAGCTTTTGATGTTTCGTCGAACGCCGTCGCCGTGGCGACGCAGTCTTCGCCGTGAAAAGCGAAGGTAATTTTGAGAGGCTAGAAATGCTCGAAACATAAGCAAACTTGGCACACAGATTACAGCCCAAAATGTAGTTGTATAATATGATTTTATTGGTTCAGAGGGACAAATCGGCTCAATAGCGCCCCCTACAATATTTAGACGAAGCAGCCCTCGCTGTACGTTTCACATAGATTTACAAGATTTGGTAGGCACATGTATCACATGTGGACTTAAAATAAAGTCTCTTGGGACCATGCTCTAAACCCAACCAGAAGGTCAGCCATTTTGAATTTTGTATGAATTTCTCGTGTTTTTCTTCCATTTCCAGGTGCTGTACTACAAACTCCTCCTAGGGAATTAATCCGATCAGCTTAGAACTTGGTCAGAACAAACTAAAGACCTTAGCGAATAAAAGTTACTAAAAGCTTTAGGTTTCATCCAACGACGTGGATATGGTGTGATGGCCATTTTACATGGTTCACCATCATCCATCAAGCTGTTGTAACTCGACTGTACTTTGTCAAAACTGTCCCAAACTTGACATGCTTGTTGACTGTCATGGCTTTAGGACTTCTGCATGCCAATATTAACTCATCGTCATAGCGCCACCTACTGATAAGCACGGACGTAAGCAGGATTCTATAATTACAGCGGCCCAAACACTGAACTTATTGAAAGGGTTTGTGGGCACACCATGAGAAAAAGACTTCTCTGATCTAAATATGTGCAAACTAAGATGCTTGGAGAGCAAACGTTAGATAACAGTGGTTTTTCAAACCATGTCAGTGGGCATTAGTATAAATGATCTGTCCAGAGCTTCTTCATGACAATCAGGTTAAACGTTACAATGAATGCTTCACACTACAATCTAAAGTTACAGAAGAACTTTAATTTAACACTAAAACAGTGTTAAATTAAAGTGTTCAAGTAACAGCAAATGGCACTACTGTTTTGTTAACTTTCATGTAAGTCCAAATACAATCAGCAGGACACTGCAGGGAGTTGAACCCCATCCCAGTAAACTGACAGTCTGTCATGTTACAAACACTGAAGGGCATTCACACACATTCATTTTCTTAATGATCTTTAAAGGCTTACATTAATGATTGTATCGGAGGTACACTCAAAACATTTCAGGCTTAAGACCTGGCAACATGATCTTGCTACGCTGCTGGTCGACGCAGGAAATATCTCACTCGTGCACGCAGAGTGTGATGGTCACAGAAATTCATGGCCGCGTCACCCAGAGAGATGCCAGGACCCTCGATCAATGCTGCTCGCAGCTTCAATGTTTATTGTTCTACATAACTAATAACATAATGTTATTATTAATATTAATTCATTATTTTAGAAAAATAAAATGAAACTTTGTTCTTCAGATTCTGTTAGAAGCTAAAAATGCTGCTCACTGCTCCAAGTTTGGAGAAGAGATCCCTCCATGGAGCTGAGAGGAGGAGGAGATGAAGAGGAGGACACAGTATACAATACACATTAAACAATGTATTCATGATGAAATATGACGTGATTGAGGAGAAAGTTAAAACATAAAACATGAATAATCCAGTTTATTAGTTTGTAAAGTTTCTGAGCTCTAAACATTTTAGATTCAACATCAACTTTATTTCAACTGTTTCAATTCAAACGTACACTTTAGATTTCTGCTGTTTCTTCACTTCAGGGATGAAATAGTGTCCACAGACTGTTGCATTGTGGGAAATGGTAGACGAGGTGAAATGGTCTGGTTCATTCTGGAGATTATTTAAATCAATACGACAAAGTGATGATTTATACTACGTGTGTACTCTGTGTATACTACATGTAGTATACACATTATGTGTACATGTATACTACATGTACACATACCACACATACTATGTATACTACATAGTGTACATGTACATACTATATGTAGTATGTGTACACGTAGTATACATACTATATGTACTACATGTAGTATGTATGTAGTACATATACTACATATAGTATGTGTACATGTAGTACATGTAGAATACATACATGTATACTAAGCGTGGTGATGTCATCAGAAGCCACGCCCACAAACCGTGGCTCCATTGTTTTTGTATTTGTTGCTTTAATGATTATTAAACAATAATCACAAAAGTTCAGTTAATGAGATAATTAGAGCAGGAAGTGAGAAAATAAGAGCTTTATTCTGTCAGAACAACTTTTATTATTTGACTTTAAAATGATTTATAAAGTTGATAAATGATCTTATCTTGATGATCAGAGTTTATGTTTCTATTATATTTATGTTCTTTGATTAGAAATGTTGTCAGAATGACTTTTTGATTTGAGACGTTTATTTTTAACAGAAAGAGTCAAAACGTTTCCTCACTTCAGGTGTGTTTGATTTTCACACCTGTGGAATTGTATGTCTTTGACCGTTTCAGTTAGTTTTATTATGTTCTGGCAGCGCTTTATTTTGAAAATACTGAACATGTAGTTTCCTGTCTGGAGACTCAAGTTTTCTCTTTGAAGCTGATTAAAGTCTTTCTGTGTCTGAGGTGCGTTTGATTCGCTGACTGTCGGGTGGAGACAAGAGCTTTGTGTTCTGTGCAATATTCTGTTTCTTATTAATGTTTTATTACTGTTAAAATGTTTGTGTGTTTTTCTCTCACTTATGAATAATTAACTGTGTGAAGAAGGAGAATTGTTAATAATCAGTTTCATGAAGAACAATAAATAAACATTTGATTTATTCTTTATGATGTGTTTCTTGATGAAGGTCACAGGTTGTGGCTAAAATCTCCAGAGACCGGAAGTGAACTTTAGTTTGATGTTCACACATCTGGTTGAGTTTGTGTTGAAGGGCATTCTGGGTAATGAAGTCAACAATGATCTGTAGTACACATTGGTAGAAGAACTACTCGGATACTATACTAAGACTGTTACAAGTAAAATAAGTAGTGTCAGCCAAGTACTGAAGTAAAAGTACTGAAGTAGTATCAGCCAAGTACTAAAGTAAAAGTACTGAAGTAGTATCAGCCAAGTACTAAAGTAAAAGTACTTATTGAGATACACATTTCAATTGTATTAAACATGTATTATTGTTAAAGTAGCATTTTATGTCTAGCTAATTTTAGCTATGGCACAACAATGTGTCTGCTGGAATGTAACTAAGTACAATTACTCAAGTATTGTACTTAAATACAATTACTACTACTAATGCTACAACTATGTATTGTAGTGTATAATTGTATGTTAACATGTTATATGTAGTGTATAATTATATGTTAACATGTTATATGTAGTGTATAATTATATGTTAACATGCTATATAAATATATATTTTAATATATATATGTGGAGCTTTCCTGCTGAGGTTCGTGACGTCACCGTATTTAGTTCACTCACAGATTTCTGTTGACGGATACAGCTCTACATCCGGGTACCTAGAGCTGTATCCTCCTCCTCTCCTCTCTCTCCGTCTGCATCTTCCCATCCTGCAGATAAACAGACAGACAGAGAGAGAGAGACAGGTGGACAGACAGACAGGTGGATCTCTTCCGGCAGCAGGTTTGTTTTCTTCTTTCATCTTGTTGATTCAGATTTCAGATCGGTCTGTTTCTCTTTAAATGACGACAGACAGAACTGCTTCATAACGCTGTCTGTCTCGGTAAACAACGGGAGGTGTTTACGTTCACCTCGATGCTGATTGGCTGACACGATGTGATTGTTCGTTACATTACAGACGCTTTCATCCAAAGCGACTTACAGATCAGATTCACATCTGATCACACGCTCCGTAGGCTCAGCTACGGGGTTAAGTGCCTTGCTCAAGGACACGTCGACATGCGACTGGCGGAGCGGAGCCGGGGATCCTCTGATGGAAGGACGGCGACGGCCGCCCCATGTATATAAACACTGAACTAATTAAAGCGTCATAATATGTGTTTTATGTTTATTTATAAATGATAAACATGGCGGGAAAAGCCCTCAGAGCTCCGATTATTGTCATAACTTTATTGAGTTTATATTTAATAAGAAGACGACTCAAATATTAATACTATTAATACAACTTGAATCTGTTTGAAAACATTATCTGAGGTTTAAATAAATATATGAATATCTGTGAGACATAAAGAGCCTCTCTCTGTCTCTCTCTCTCTGTGTGTCTCTGTCTCTCCCTCTGTCTCTCTCTCTCTGTGTGTCTCTCTCCCTCTGTCTCTCTCTCTGTGTGTCTCTCTGTCTCTCTCTCTCTGTCTCCCTCTGTGTCTCTCCCTCTGTCTCTCTCTCTCTGTGTCTCTCTCTCTCTCTGTGTGTGTCTCTGTCTGTCTCTCTCCCTCTCTCTGTCTGTCTCTCTCTCTGTCTCCCTCTCTCTGTGTCTCTCTCTCTCCCTCTCTGTCTGTCTCTCTATCTCTCCCTCTCTCTGTCTGTCTCTCTCTCTGTCTCCCTCTCTCTGTCTGTCTCTCTCTGTCTCTCCCTCTCTCTGTCTGTCTCTCTCTCTGTCTCTCCCTGTCTCTCTCTCTCTCTGGTGGACTTTGTGGAGAGCGTTGCTAAATATTTGGTGATTTTTCTCAAATTTTCTTCAATCTCTTCATAGTTCACTGTGTGGTTGAGTTGTGGTGGTTTGAGGTTGTTGTTGTATTTTGGTGTTTTGGGCGGACAGAGAACCGCGTTTGTTGTCGGGGATGGCGTCCTCTGAGACGCCGTCCATGTCTTTGAGGCATGGAGTTCGTGTTCAGCCCGACCCGTGTGTCCCGGTAGAGGCGGTTCTGCCCTATGCCTCCAGGATGAACAGAGGTGTGCTGGTGTTTTTGAAAGAGGAGCGTTTTGTGGCGGAGTTAATATCGAGCGGCGTCTCGCTGAACGGCGTGTATCTGCAGGTTTCCCCGCTCGCAGTGCCCTCCACCCGGGTCACCGTCTCCGGTGTTCCCCCGTTCATCCCCAACCAGGTGTTGGAGCGAGAGCTGCAGCGCTTTGGGAAGCTGGCGAGCAGCTTCAGGACTGTGGGTCTGGGTTGTAAGAGTGATAAACTCAAGCATGTCCAGTCCTTCAGAAGACAGGTGTTCCTTACCTGTCCTTCACAGACGCTGGAGGTCTCCTTTAGGGTGAAGCATGGGGAGGGACACTACATGGTGTACGCTAGCACAGGTAGCATCAGGTGCTCGATCACACCGGAGCTCCGCTAAATGACGAGCCAGCGGAGGTCGCTGCTCCGCGGGGGGGGGGCGATGACCCGCCGACCGGGGCCGAGGCCGAGGAGGGGCTCAGCAGCCAGACAGACAGTCAGGATGGGGAACAGAGAGATGATTCAGGTGGAGATAAAGTTATTGATGAGAAGTAGAGGAAAAGAAAGAAGCAGAGGAAAGGAAAGAAGCAGAGGATGTCAGGATCCAGGATCCCTGTCTGACCTGTTGTGTGTTACCTCTGTTTCCCCTGATCCCCTCTCCTCATGTGTCTGTCATTCCCGTTTGTTATTGTGTGCCATGTGCTCTGTGTTTGTCCTCTGCCTCCAGACACCTCCCATGGCCACACCCCTGATTGTGCACAGCTGCGGACACTCCAGCCAATTACCTCCTGCAGGCTGACACACCAGACTCAGGTCCCACTAACCATTCCCCTGGCACTATATCAACTCTGGTCCTGCAGGCTGGGGTTGTCAGGTCGTACCGTCTTTCACCCGCTTCAACCCCGTATCATCTTCTGCCTCGAGCACCTGCCTCCGGGGTCCGCCGGTCCGGGAATCCCCCGAGCCCTCCGTTGAGTTAACGGACTACACACCGCCGCTCTGCCTGCCCTCCGGTGTCGAGCCACGGGACTCACACCATGGATCTGCCTACCCTCTGGTGTCGGACCACGGGCTCCACACCTTCCTGTCCTCTTTATTCGGGCAAATAAAATCAGTTTTACCGTACTCTGTCTCCTGTGGTCTTGCTATTGGGTCCTAACCGTGAACTCCCGTGACAGAGGAAGGTATGAGGGAAAGTGGAGCAGGCAGCAGTAAAGGGCCGGCAGCTGAAGCTGACCAGAGTCAGGCTGCTGGTCCAGAGGAGAGTGGGGGGGCTTGTGTTGAGGAGGAGATGGAGTACGACTCTGACGGTCTCTCTGTCACAGACTCACAGTCTCACAGTGGAGATCTGTACAAGCTGAGGAAATGAATAACTTCCTGGATGAAATGTTTGGAAAGTCTGTAGAGGTTTCAGAGTATTTTCCAGAAGCAGACAAGTTCATTAAAAGAGTTGTGACATTACAGAGAGAGATTGATTTGGAGGATTTAGATGAAAAGAAACGTTTCCGTCTGAAGAAGCTCATGACGAGTCTCAGGAAGCTAAAGAAGAGCGATGAAGGGAAAGGTGATGGATGTGATTCACTTCATCTTTCTGTTACTGGTTCTTCTCTCTGTCTACATCACCGCTCTGTTTCATTTCTCAAGGTGAGGATTGTTTTTTTAATGTTGATGAGGTGACAGGAATGTCTAGTGGACGGAAATGGCTGCTACCTCAGCTCTCCTACAGGGGGAGGGTCCTTACTGTCAATACCTTGGTTGCCTCGACCCTTTGGCACAGACTGGTAGTCCTGCCTCCACCACAGGGCCTGAAGAAAGACATCCAGAGGGCAGTTGTGGACTTCTTCTGGTCAGCGCTTCACTGGCTGAGATCTGCGGTGCTGTACCTGCCGGTCCAGGAGGGAGGGCAGGGCCTGGTGGACATCGCATCATGCATCACAGCCTTCAGACTGCAGACAGCTTCGGCCTGCCATGGACTGATTCTGCCTGTGTGCTGCTGAGGAGGGCCGGACGCTTAGGTTATGACAAACACCTGTTCCAACTTCAGCCCCAGTCAGTGGATTTAACTGGTCTGACACCGTTCTACCAGTCCGTCTTACAGGTGTGGCAGGTCTTTA